TCCCACTGATGATGGCCACCGTCCCTACAACTAACTTCCACTGATGATGGCCACCGTCCCTACAGCTAATTCCCACTGATGATGGCCACCGTCCCTACAACTAACTTCCACTGATGATGGCCACCGCCTCTACAGCTAACCCCTACTAATGACCACTGTTTTAAGAGTTAAGCACCAAGATAAACACACAAACATTACTCACCTGCATCTACCGTCCGAGATGATTTTCCTAACTTCTCAGATAAGAGTTGTTTGGTGCACTTGTATGTGGAAATGGACCAGGACTTAATCGTTTCCATTTTACTAGACCCTGTACGGACGACGGCGGCTCCATTTTCTGTGCCGGGGGTTGTTGGCGTAGCTAATGGAATAGGCGACATGGCTGGAAACGGCGAGATATAACAGTCCCACTTATTGCCGTATTCTGAAACATTCCTCACATAGGGGTCTAGGGCTTAAATTCTATCTTATGAGGTTGAATTTAGCAAAGGCGCTTCTTTTTAGTATGACTAATGAAAGCCGTGAGGGTGGAGACTAGTAAATACTCTATCTATTAGTTTATACAGGGGGGGGAGGGGCTTGGATATTAGTATCTAGGTATACTGTATGTACATAGATAAGTGTGTGTGCAAGGGAAGGTGAGGGAACGACATGAAGGACTTGGGGAAGTGTAAGCATGTGTACCACGCAGCCTAAATTCCCAAATACTGTATCAGCTTATAACTACAGCAGCAGAAGGAAGACAGATAGAAAAAATAACACAGGGTAATAAGTTTCCTCTATATTAAGCAGAAACATTTAAAAAAAAAACATTAAAAAACAGGTTTCCAGTCATCCTAAGATATTTTCCCATTGATGGCTTGAAACCTGATTATCATATTACAAATTAAATATAAAAGAGTTGGTATAAAATCGAGAGTGACCTTTATGAGACAATGTACTCTGTGTTACCAGGAGGTTTGTCAGCATATATCATAGACCAGACTAGCATGTTACTTAAAATAGTACTTCTCAATGCTGGCTGAAGAGTAGCAGGTTTGAAGTGTGGCACTGTACATGAGGAATCAGTTAGTGCCAGTTAAAAGTTCTAAGAGTTCAAATTTCAAAACTCTTACATGAAAACTCCCTCTGAATTCCCACACTTTTACAGACTTTATTAAATGTGTTTTAATTCAACAAGTATTAGAGGTTTAAATGCTGTATTGTTGGTGCTAGGTAACCTCCTCGAGAAGCTAGGTACAGTGCCTCGAGTGTTATGCTTGTAATACTAAATGAGTCACAAGCTCTAAATTTTCAGTCTCGCGGATGACACCTAAATGGAATGTTTAATGCCATGACACCAGCCTTGTCTACGGTGTAAAGACCCATAATACACCTCGGAGCAACAGTCTGGTTACTGAAAGACAGATATCCCGAGTCCCTGCTTTTAAAAATGAAGTCAGAAATGGTACTTGGACCTCTGTCTACAATACACTAACAGTTGAACAAATTATTTACACTTCTTTGATCAAAGATATATATCAAAGGCACCAATATCACTCAATCATGATCCCCATTTCTGATCAAACAGAAGAAGTTCATGATGAGGTGATGTCTAACTCTGAATAAAATATATTTTTTACTATGACAACCTGAGTTACTGACTGTGTACAAAAATATTATCTTATTACACTCAGACACAATGATGGTCCCACTAAACTGACACGGCAATAAAGAATCATCAGACCATGAAGCACTCGACATTCTTACACCATGACATCATAACACAATAAAGAAACTGCTTGCAGGGAAGGTCACTCGTAATCTCCCAGACAGACTAACACTTCTATGTAATAAATTCAACCAATCAGCTGCCCCCAAATGAGTAAGAGAATGAGGGAAATTTTTTTGTAGGTAAAGGGACCCAAGTTATAGTAAGAAGAGAAACTATTTTTCCAAACTTGATAAAACTTTCAAGCTTGAATTATGAGCTTTACACCAGAGACTAAGCTGGCGCCATGACATCAAGCCATTCATAGAGATTGTGACTTTAATTATAATATATTAGATAGGTGTAAGTTTATCCAGTCTGTAAAAATAGTGTTAATAATAAGAGATATCACTTCATCTATAATACTGAAATGAAAAAAAAATCATGCCTACTGGAAATAAATTGGACTAAACATGCCTTAAATTTTTTCCTAATCACAATTTATTTTACAGATAAGAATGAAACTGATCGAGAAATAGAGAGGGTCGAGAAACACCCACCAGGACTACTCGCACTATTGGGCGAGGTGTAGGCTGACCCTGGGTTGTGAGGGTACTGTGGGAGGGACGTTGGTCGAGCCTGAGGTGTGGGGATGGGCTGTGTGGGGGAAGTGGCGGGAAGCTGTTGTATCCCTGAATTTGGTATGGCATTGGGCATGGGAACGCCCGCTAAAGGCTGGTTCTCTCCGCAGGTTGACCCATCATTCAGGGCGACAGACTGCATTCCTCCCTCGCTAAGATCTCCATCCATGTCTGCTACTGACTGTGTTAAAGGTGTAAATAAAGACATTATATAAAGTACAGTAATTATATCCTCTAAACTCGTCTCATTCTTTAATATAAATTCAATCAAAAAATTTATATACGTACACTATTAAATACTGTAAGATAAACTAATATAAAAATATTACCTATAATGTTTAAATGCAACATACAAAATAAAAATTACATTTAAACATTTTTGGGGGGACAAGAAATTTAAAATTAATTAAAAAAATAATAATTTACTACAAATGTTAACCAGTACATCAATAAATAAATTTCCCTCCTTGCAAACATACAAAAAAAAAAACCATCATTTATACACTACATGATAACAGTTCCTGAACACAGCTGTCCTAACATAATAACCAAATCATTATAAAGTCAAATCACCAGTTTAAATTAACACCACTCACATAGCTAGCTACAGCCTCTGAGTAACACGACCAGACACCACCAAACATTCAAATGCCACTAACAGAAACTCGACAATTTATGATTATACCTAAATAGCAAGAAATAATAGACTAATATAATAAGGCTATTGCATATTCTCTTTAAACTCAACCTGGAAACTATCATACAAACACTAAACTAATCTTGAGGAATATATAGACACAAACAACATAACAAAAACTAAAGTACTGTACAACACTAGTTAGCAACATCATTTTTATCATCTTACAACTGACTTCTTATCAGTTAAGCAATTAAGATAACCCGTGGTTAATGTAAACCAGAATACACGATACTTCCTCTTGACAAAACATCACCAACTACCTATTCCCCACAACTAGAGGACATTGACATAACAATCAATACTCCTCTTTTAAAAACACTAGGCTTACTTTCTGTGCTTGTTCAACATTCAGTACTAAAGGTCAAAAATTGATAAGGAGATTACGGTATATTTCAAGTAGATAAGATGGCAATTACATAAAAAAAATTAGCGTGTGAATATACTAAAGGAGGTGTTTTTTATATTGACAATTTAGATAGAGACGAGAGTTTATGTAATGCTAATAGTTAATCTCTTCATTAAACAGATGTTACTTTTAATATTTGATTTGGTTAATGCTCATTGATTTTATTGAGTACAGAGGGGGTTCCTGGATACAAGTGGTTATGATGAATGAACTAGAAAATGGATGCTAGTAGAGAAATTAAATAGCATGACAGTCTTCTACAGCAAGCAAGGGGTTATTATATACTGATGACTAAGCACTCATTGTTTTACTATACAGTATACAGTACCGGTACATAAGAGCTATCACATGGTATTGCTACACTCAAACCTAGACTAGCCTAACCAAACCAAACCCAACCCAATCAGACCTGACCTGACCTTACCTGACCTGACCTGACCTAACCTAACCAGAAGCCATTAAAATTCAAAACACTATTACTACAAGCTGATCAGTACTGAGAGTTCATGAGAGCAAATCCCAGTTCTAATTTCCAGGATATAATTTACTGATACCTGGCTACTTGGGAAAATGGTCAGAAATCATATAAAAACTAAAATGAAAGGATAGAGGACCGATAAATGTAAGATACTGTAGCAGCCACTGTAGGAAAACGTCAATATGATTTTTATTTTATTTTTGGGGGGACAGGAGTCGCACAACAACAAAAAAATACTTAAATTCACCGTACCAAAATATATTCCGGTACAGTATATATTTGACCTTATTGGATTAAATTTTACACTGTCTACCTTGATCATATATGTATACTGACTCAAACAAGACATTCATTAAAGGCAAGAACTAGGAGTATTTTTAATTAGCTGGATTCAACAGGAAACAGGTTTGATGATAACAGTTGGGTTTTTTCCAGTTCATATCCGAGTGTCAGGTGAAAGAGGAGTGACAGAGGCCGATGTATGTTTTAAAGTGACTCGTGTCTTCTTTCAGCCAAGCAATATTCTTTTATAAATAATATTGAGCCTGGATTACTATTTTATACTTAAACTTGGGATTTGTAGATGTAAGACTAATGCACACACACACACACACACACACACACACACACACACACACACTAAACCTCAGATATACACATTAGAGATTCTTAATACTAATCCCTTACCAGTCCATTAGGTTAAGTTAAGTTAGGTTATGATTGGTAAGGTTAGATTAGGTTATGATACTTCGTGATTCTCAACTCGGAAGCTGAAAAAACACATTTGTTTAGCGTTTCCACAAATAAAGACAACCTCCATTGCATTAAGTATTAAATATTGCACAAAAATCACACCAAATTAATCCACCAAATTAGCAACACGAGCTAACACGACCTCACGAAACTATGGAAGGAATTACAGTAAGAACTCAATTATTTGATCTGTTAACGAGTAATAATTGTAATCTCTATATAATGCAGTTTTCTATATATAATCCGTGAGGGGGGGGGGAGGGTGAGGCAACAAAAAGATCCTCGATATAATGGACTTTTCATATCTATATAGTTTATTAAAAGGTTTCATATATAACGGACCTCGATATAATGGACTTTTCATATCTATATAGTTTATTAAAAAGGAGGTTTCATATATAACGGACCTAAATATAATGGACCTCATATCTTTCTTCTATATAAATAACCCTCGATATAATGGACTTTTCATATCTATATAGTTCATTAAAAGGAGGTTTCATATATAACGGACCCTCGATATAATGGACTTTTCATATCTATATAGTTCATTAAAAGGAGGTTTCATATATAACGAACCCTCGATATAATGGACTTTTCATATCTATATAGTTCATTAAAAGGAGGTTTCATATATTACGAACCCTCAATATAATGGACTTTTCATCTCTATATAGTTCATTAAAAGGAGGTTTCATATATTACGAACCCTCGATATAATGGACTTTTCATCTTTATATAGTTCATTAAAAGGAGGTTTCATATATAACGAACCCTCGATATAATGGACTTTTCATATCTATATAGTTCATTAAAAGGAGGTTTCATATATAACGAACCCTCGATATAATGGACTTTCCTCCCCATATAGTCCATTATATAGAGGTTTCACTGCAAGTACTAAATTCCTTAAGACGATATCAAACAAATTAACAAAATCAACGACTAAACACCACAGCCCTCGAAAGTAATTAGAGTATTGTCATAGTTAACTACTGTACGATCATTTGGCTTTATCCTAACAACTAATGTGTAGTTTTCATTATAAATATTTTTGGGTTAATTTGTTATTGATGTTCACACTGGTTCAACATGTAACGTACACAGTGTATGTATATAGTTTACATAGTGTAGATATATAAAGTGTACATACTGTAGGTATATAGTGTACATACTTAGGTATATAGTGTACATACTTAGGTATATAGTGTACATTGTGTAGGTATAGTGTACATTGACAGTTTATGTATAAATTGTACATAAATACAGTAAAATATACATAGCCAGCATAAGTATCCAAACTATTTCAATAGGTCAAATATTGCACCATAAACCTCGAGCCAGAATTTATACTCTTGATACACCCAAACTCACAATATCAACACAGACACCACTATAATACAGACACCACTATAATACACAGACACCACTATAATACACAGACACCACTATAATACACAGACACCACTATAATACACAGACACCACTATAATACACAGACACCACTATAATACAGACACCACTATAATACACAGACACCACTATAATACACAGACACCACTATAATACACAGAGACACCACTATAACACACACAGACACCACTATAATACAGACACCACTATAATACACATACACCACTATAACACACACAGACACCACTATAACACACACAGACACCACTATAACACACAGAGACACCACTATAACACACAGACACCACTATAACACACAGAGACACCACTATAACACACAGAGACACCACTATAATACACATACACCACTATAATACACAGACACACCACTATAACACACACAGACACCACTATAATACAGACACCACTATAATACACATACACCACTATAATACACAGAGGCACCACTATAACACACAGACACCACTATAATACACAGAGACACCACTATAACACACAGACACCACTATAACACACACAGACACCACTATAACACACAGACACCACTATAACACACACAGACACCACTATAACACACATACACCACTATAACACACACAGACACCACTATAACACACACAGACACCACTATAACACACACAGACACCACTATAACACACATACACCACTATAACACACAGAGACACCACTATAATACACATACACCATAAGGTCTTGGCGTGGCACCCTGAGACACTACGTTAAGTCCCACACCATTACACTATACATTCCAACCTTTACTATATACCCAGGGACCTGTTAGTTACCTTTAATATAATAATAAATAAATATAAGGTTTTTAAATCCTTATAAACTGAGGAATTAATAAACTTCATGTAAAGTTCCTAAGAGCTAAAAACCACATGACAATTTAATACACTAGTAACATCCTATAAATCTATACCGTATAGTATTTAATATATACTTCTTAGGTAGCTCGTTGAATACTATAAGACTATAATACTGGTTTTTTACGTACCGGGGGCTGTGGTTCATAAAATAAAACACTTTTGGTAGCTGTCAAGTCTCATCAAAACACAAGCTGTCTGCTGCTGACGTCACATGCCGCGTATCACCCCGGAGTAGCCATCAGTCTATATATATTCTATTTATTATCTATATTACCATTAAATATACATATAAATCATTCAAATAATATAATATGTATTTATTTCTTTTTAATTTTACTCATTTTATAGGGTTAATATTACCCCGTTAGGTTGTATAAATGTGTATTAGTTTTGCAGACTATTGCTATGTGATAATATTACTACAACAAATCTATCCACAATTGTATTAACATAATGGTGATAATTAGTTTATTTAATAATTTTTCCAGTAAAATTATGAGGATATATAAATAGTAAATAGTAATTCATGGTTTCCTATCATAAAAATAATGGTTATCGATTTTCGTCTTTTGAAAACTAGGACATATGACAAAATACTTAGTGTATAATTTATTGTATATTTTGTTAATTAATTGAGTAGAACAGTCAATTTCCTCCTTTATAATACTAAATAACTATATATTCACTAAATACAAGTACCAAAACTTTTACCGAGAACTGAACTTGCAATAAAAATTTAATATAGGGTAGAGCAACTATCTAGGAAGTAAGAATTATTAACAAATATATATCCAACTGAGTTATTAAATGCTAAATATAATATTCTCTGGAGTATTTTTTCCCTGTTCAAGACCTTACCTGCAATGGCGACTGGTTAGGTGTTGAATTCTACCTGTGTGTACTTGGCATAGTTACCTCGTCATAATTACAGGTATATTGATTACTGGATCAATATATACTACACAATGGTGTAATAATTATCAATGCTTGTCTCTTGCGTATTTTTTCGGTAATCCTCCATATTAAATTAACTCTTATTTACCATTTCATAATCACCAAGAGTCATTTAAATAAGTTCTATCAAATTTACATCTCATTGTAATTATTGATCAATTTAATATGTATAAGAATAATGTAGCTGTTTAATTAGGATCTGGTGGACAAGGTGTGATAGCTGTTTTAAAACCTATGTCTACTCAGTTGTGTATTACTATAGAAAAATATACTATAGTTCTGTATTACTGTAATGAAAAGTACTATTTTGAAGCCCAGTACTGGTAGACTGTTCCATAGGTCTACCTCCGTATGTACAAGGAAGTACTTTTATATTCGTCCTGCACAATGACAAGCTTAAATTATGCTCCATTGTATTGGTGATGTATAGACTTAAATAATAAATAGCTTAGGTTCATATTTTTCATCCCTTTCAAGATGAATGATAATCTATTTACTTTTCAATTTGTATATTTAGATGTGAATTTATACAACTATTGGAAGGAACTAATACAATATGGTTGATCTATTGTTGCACATTCAATACAATGCATTAGTTATATATTATTAATTATTTCCTCTCATGACTCTACAGTATACAGTAATTATACCAGAGTAACTACCTACAGTATACAGTAATTATACCAGAGTAACTACCTACAGTATACAGTAATTATACCAGAGTAACTACCTACAGTATACAGTAATTATACCAGAGTAACTACCTACAGTATACAGTAATTATACCAGAGTAACTACCTACAGTATACAGTAATTATACCAGAGTAACTATCTTATCTACAGTATACAGTAATTATACCAGAGTAACTACCTACAGTATACAGTAATTATACCAAAGTAACTACCTACACTTCCACATACAGTAATTATACCATAGCAACTACCTGTACAGCATAAGGTAATTATACCAGAGAATTCACCACAGCATACAGTACTATACCAGAGTAACTATCTACAGTATGTATGCAATTATACCAGAGTAACTATTCATTTTACAGTATACAGTAATTATACCAGAGTAACTATCTTATCTACAGTATACAGTAATTATACCAGAGTAACTACCTACAGTATACAGTAATTATACCAAAGTAACTACCTACAGTATACAGTAATTATACCAGAGTAACTATCTACAGTATACAGTAATTATACCAGAGTAACTACCTACAGTATACAGTAATTATACCAGAGTAACTATCTACAGTATACAGTAATTATACCAGAGTAACTACCTACAGTATACAGTAATTATACCAGAGTAACTATCTACAGTATACAATAATTATACCATAGTAACTACCTACAGTATACAGTAATTATACCAGAGTAACTACCTACAGTATACAGTAATTATACCAGAGTAACTATCTACAGTATACAGTAATTATACCAGAGTAACTATCTTATCTACAGTATACAGTAATTATACCAGAGTAACTATCTACAGTATACAGTAATTATACCATAGTAACTACCTACAGTATACAGTAATTATACCAGAGTAACTATCTACAGTATACAGTAATTATACTCAACAGATTACCATGTTTTTCATCAACATGTGTTTCAGGTCACATTCTGATGCTATGGTTGGTGCCAGACCTGAGGAAGATGAGACAGGTTTCTAATTGAATAAATAGGTCTTTAAAATTTCACAGCATCTCCAAGATTTATGTATTTTCCGTCTGTAGGTTACTGAGTGCATTTATTTACTCAGAAACCACAGTGAGTAAATTAAATGACTGTATTATTCACTTAAGTTCATAACTCTCAAAATGTACTGTATTTTGAATATGATGCAAGGTATACATTTAAAACTCTATTATTTAATATGGGACATAGGTATCAACATTATGGAACACTTATACAAAAATATAAACTATTTTCTGCTGTACAAATATCTAGAAAAATGAGAGAGGGTTCTTTAAATTCCACTTTACTATACAGTCTAGACCAACTGACTCCTGTGTTATCAGCCAGAGTCTATGGGTAGCTATGATTAACAGAACAGCTAAAACCTTTCTATTTACAATTATAATCTTTAAAAAAAATTCTTGTTGGCATCACCTTCAGCTAAAAGAGATTACTGTCTCATTAGATCTATTCTGGATGGTCCTTACTTATAAAATCTGTAGTAAAAACATGAGGAAAAAAATGTTTCAACAACTTTCCTCAAGATCCCTGATACACTACTCCAAGCCAGCCCCTGGATTAGCCACTCGATGCAATGATGCTTTGTAACAGAGTCAAATGAGAGTTATGGAGCATAAAACCCAAGTGACAGCAAGACTCTGACTTCACCTAGACCTCTTATATTGAACTATGGTTATGAGGGAAAGGTGTTTGAACTGAATGATTGAGTTAGATTTTGGAACTATGGTTTATAATCGTTACACTTTAGCTGATGATACAGGAATCCATCTGGCCAAACAGTAGTTTCTAAAAGGTGCTGCTGATTTGAGAGATAATTCTAACTACTGTAATTTATTTCTCCCTATTCAATTTCTTCGTCTTTTATACATATATCCTCAGTTTCTTCCTTCATGGGACAACTAACATCTGAAAATGATGAATTTATTTCACTATCAACAGAAACTTCTGGTACTTGTGAACAGAGTTTGGTCTTATAATTATCTATGCTATCATGATTATCAGAGTCACAACTGAGGTAATCTTTCTTTATGTTATG